GCGGGGCCCCCCCCGCCGCCGGCTTCCCCCGAGGCTTTCAAAGCCGCGGAGGGGCTCCGGCGGCGGTGCATCCGGCGTACAAGACGACCCCCGATTTTGGGGGGATGTTTTTTAACATCAGAGGTCGTCTTGTACGCCGGAATATACGGTATATATGAGATATAAAAACCATTCTTTGAATATGTCTCTCTTGTGGTATCATGTCTCAGAGGCTGTCAAACTACAATGCTTGTCATAAATATACGGGCTATTTTTACATGATTTTGACAACCCCTGTTCTGTAAAATGAGGCTACACCAGATTCTCTTAATTGAGTATATGCTTATTTATTTTACCAGTACTATGTATTTGATGCCTAATCTAACTCTGTGTGCATATTTAGATAAACTGAAAAATTGGATTTGATTTTCATACAGTTGAGTATGTAACTGTAGGTTTCAAATGCCTGCATAACCGTATTCCTAATTTACATATAGTTGCTATATCTGTATGAACAAATCATAGTAGTTGCAGGTGTAATGTTATTGAATTAGCTAATACTTGTGTGTATTCATGCTAATGAAATTTGAAATACTGGATTCACAATTGTATGCTACATTATCTCATGCACTGAGTATCATTTATTTTTAGGCCTGTTTTTCAAACCACCTTTCTGGCAGCTTTTTGGTGGTATAGGAAGTCAATTGGCTGCCACAGTTCCTGCTATACAGATATGCACCTCACAGAACCAGTTCCCCCCATTAACTATGCTTGTTGACAGAGGAGCTGACAACTGTGTGGGGCCTGGAGCCTGAATTACAGATACAAATGTGGGCAAGGAGAGACAGAATAATGACAGAGGACGAGATAAGGACTTGAGGGCCTTAGGAAGCAAGGAGGTGAGCACACCTCTTCAACGTGAACATGCCTGCCTTACCACTGTGGAGTCCAGGGCAAAGACTAGGTTACAAAAGATTAAAATGCAGCTGTTTATAAGGCCACCAATACCTTGCACTATCATGTTAATTAGAGAATTTATAAAGGTAGCTATTGCAATGCTGTGCCACCAGTTAAATCATTGTGTGCGCTAGGGATGGAGCACAAGTCTAGTCTCCTATCCAGACCACAATAGAGGTTGGACCTTGCTGGTTTGGCACCTTCTGTAACTGACTGGTCCCCCATGAGGGAATTTACTGGACCAGGGAAGCTCCTCCCCTCCTGGCCTGTGCTGCTACTGGGTTAGGGTGCCAGCCTGCCCCTGCTGCTGCCCCAGGGCTCTCTAGATGCTGGCCGCCTCGCTGCAGTTGGGGACAGAGCGCTGCAGTCTGGGGCAGACCTCTGCAGCCACCTGGTTCCATGATTGGGGCCAGAGCTGCACAGCCAAGGCTGGGGTGGAAGGCTGGGGCTGGAGCTCCACAGCTGCTGCTGGGGCCAGAACTCCCTGCCATGGCACCCCACTCCAGCACTGGACTCCCGGCTGAATTGCTGATGCCCCAGCACTCCTGCCCCTCCGCCAGGTCTCCCTGTTCCTGGGCTCTGTGGTCTAGGAACTTCCGTGACCTTGTGGGACCAGGGAGTCCCACTTCACGGAGGTACAACTTCTTCTGTCATGGAACTAAATATTTTAAACTTTCCAGAGTGGCATTGGTTACTGTGCTTTGATTCCAATACAGTTGCAGGTGCCTCAGTGTGGAAGATAATTAACCCAAATGTAATTAAGAAAATTTGCTACTTTTCCCTAAATTACAAAGTAAACTGTCATCTGGAACAAAAAACATCAGTCTGATTTTTATGAAAGTTCAGATTTCTATGGCTGGCAAGGAGCTAGATGATAATCCAGACGTCAGCATTCAAATCGACTCCTGATGAATTTTTGCATTCATTTTCATTTCTGCTCTGCCTTTTTTACTATATAAGATGGGAAATCTGAACACTTTGCTTTGCTTAATGTTAGTGATTGAAACTGGAGGCAAAATAGGAACATGGAACAGATGTGAATGTATTCAAAGGAAACAATAATGAACAACTTGTTACTCAAGTTGAACCTAAAATTTAAAACATGCTGCCTGCAGTTTTGTAGAACTCCACTCAGATCCAGTTAAATCTCTACTTCTCCAAACAATGAGGATTACATTTACTGTTAACATAAGAACGGCCATACTGAGTCAGACCAACGTCCATCCAGCTCAGTATTCCATCTGCCGACATTGGCCAATACCAAATGCCCCAGAGGGAGGGAACACAACAGGTAGTCCTCACGTGATCCCTCCCCTGTCACCCACCTCCAAAGAAACAGAGGTTAGAGACACTGTTCCTACCCATTTTGGCTAATAGATGGGTTCATGGAGGTTAGGTCCATCAATGGCTATCTAGCTCTTTTTTAACCCTGTTGAAGTCCTAGTCTTCACCACGTCCTCTGGCAAGGAGTTCCACAGGATGCACTGAGTGAAGAGAAATTTCCTTTTGTTTTAAACCTGCTGCCTATTAATTTCATTTGGTGACCTCTAGTTCTTATATTGTAGGAATAAGTAAATAACTTTTCCTTATTCACTTTTTCCATACCAGTCATGATTTTATAGACCTCTATCCCATCGTCCCTTAGTCTCCTCTTTTCTAAACTGAAAAATCCAAGTCTTTTTAATCTCTCTTCATATGGGGCCCGTTCCAAACCCCTGATCATTTTTGTTGCCCTTTTCTGAACCTTTTCCAATGCCAATATATCTTTGAGATGAGGTGACCACCAGTATTCAAGATGTGGGTACACCATGGTTTTATATAGCAGCATTAAGGTATTTTCTGTCTTATTCTCTATGCCTTTCTTAACGATTCCTAACATTCCAGTTGCTTTTTCAATTGCTACGGCAGACTGAGTGAATTTTTTAAGAGAACTATCCACAATGACTCCAAGATATCTCTTGAGTAGTTGTAGTCAAATTAGTCCCCCTCATATTGTATGTATAGTTGGGATTTTTTCCAATGTGCATTACTTTACATTGATCGACATTACATTTCATTTGCCATTTTGTTGCCTAATCACTTTGTTGGGCAACATTGTGCCTATTAAGGAAGCGTTGTCTAGTTAGTACACAAAGCTCAATCCTGGGCTACGTCTACACTGGCCCCAAATTCCAGAAAAGGCATGCAAAGCAGGTAAGTCAGAATAGGGAAATCCACGGGGGATTTAAATATCCCCCGCAGATTTAAATAAACATGTCCGCCGCTTTTTTTCTGGCTTGGGGGAAAAGCCAGAAAAAAGCATCTAGACTGGCGCGATCCTCCGGAATAAAGCCCTTTTCTGGAGGATCTCTTATATAAATACAAGTGTGGCATTTAAATGATGTATGCAGGGTCCTGCTGGACTTTGATTCATTCAGATATTAATCACGGAAACTTACTCACATTACTTGGGTTATTTAAAAGTGAATTAGACAAAGCACTGAAGTCTGGAGGAAACATTCCTATGCTGGAAGATAAATGAATGAGATGTCCTACTTCTACTTTCCCCTTTGAAAAGAATGTTAAGTGTCACACACACCCAAGGCATTTTGCTACTTTCTAGCTGCCATATCTTTACATGGCTCACCTTATGCCCTTAGGCTACGATTTTCAAAGTGGCACAAGGGAGCAAGGTACCCAAATCCCACTGAAATTTAGCAAGAGTTAGGTACCTGGCATCTAAGCTCCTTTAAAAGCCCACCTTACTTCCCTAATTGCACAAGATATTTAGGATCAGATTGTGATAGATGTGCAGCTGCATAATGCTTTATGTTGTGCATGTGAGCTCACCAATGGATTTTGCTTAAGTCCGATAGCAAATTATTCAAGACATTCAAACAAGGAAATCTGCGTTGGACCTAACTTTTTTTTTTTTTTTTTTTTTGGTACTCTGGCTGCATTTTTTATCCAGTTTTGATCTGAACACAAGATTATTATAAATACTAAATACAATATTTAGCATCTAGCTAATGAACACCAGAGATATTTTTCAGTAAAGCAATGACAAAACACAGCTCCAAAATGGGAACTATCAATAAATTAGAACTTTTTGCAGTAAAGTACCTTGAATGTCTTACCTTGATCATTTAAAGACGCACCAACTCCACAGCTTTAAATGCTATTTATTTATTTTTAAAGAAAACAATACCCACTTAAAGATACTCCAAACACAAATGTTGCTATTAACCTACATTAGCTGTGGAAAAAGAACAGAACAGGCTATTTGCTCCAAGTTCTACATTCTAAAACATGAACATTTACATGTCATAATAGGTCAGAATCCTACATTATAAAACATTTGGTATAGAGCATTGCTCACTTACATTTCAAACTGCTCTGGCCTAAAATTTTACAGATTAAGAATGAACAATGGGCTTAGGTTCTGATCGATTCTGTGAGGGTGGAAGAGTTCTCCCTATTTCTTGATTGTCACATTGACAAGCAGTAAATTAGGAAAAACAGTATCCTCAGAATTATAAAGGGGTATAGTGTTAGCATGGCTTAATGGCATGAACATAGCACTGGGAACCAGGAACTCTCAAATTCTCTTCCTCCTCTGTTAGTGGTTTGAGACAGGGTATGTGACTTGCTCAAGGTCAATTTCCCTTCTCATAAAATGTAGACGATATTTATTTCCTTACCCCTTGGTGGTGTTATTAGTTAATATTTATAAAGGGCTTTGAGACTTGTAAAATAAATTCCAATTTCAGCTCTTCCTTCAATTTCCTTCAGGCAGGAAACTGCTCATTCAGCCACAACTGATCTTATCAAACTAATCAGAGAATAAAGAAAACAGACAACAACAATACAAAAAACATTTTACTACATTTAAGAGTAGCTCAGCAAAGACTCTAATCAAAAGCCAATAGTGTTTTTCAACAGATTCCATTACCATACAGTCTAGCTACCATTGCATTTTTAACTGGACACATTGTAAAGCTGAGCTATTTGCTAAAGGAGTTCAACCTTGCATCAGTTTCTCACGTTCGCAAGATTAAACCTCATCCCCAATGCCTGCAAATTCCATAAACTAATTACAAGGAGGCCACTCTGCCAGTTTCACATTCAGCTCTGAGTTCCTATCTGCAGGTGTCTGTGTTAAATGCAGCTGCCTAAATATAGACAGCTGCATGCTAGCCAAAAGATCCTGACCTACACATTGCTACATCAGCTTGCCAAGGCTCTCAAGATGCATATAGGTAATTCCTCAATGCTACTGGGAAGGGAATGGTACATAAATTGCCTGCACATGGATGAAAGCAATTGCAGTGAGGAGTTACAGTACTAGCAAGTAAGTACTAGGTTGCCATCTGGTGGGCATTAACTTGGACACAGAACTGGAGACAGATTCTGGAGCTGAAAAACATCCATTTTTGTTGTGCCAAGTATCACTATTAAAAAGGTTAAAGTTTGACTGTCGGTGGCTAAATTTAGAACATGTTCCTGTCATTTTATTTCAGTGTAAAGTGGCTAATTGTTTTGAGTTCTTTAAAAAGAAATCCATGATTATTTGTTTTGCGGGAGGGAGAAGTGGTAAGATGGCTCAAATAATTATCAGAGAACTATTTGCTGCTTCAAATTCATTCACATTGAAAGAAACTCAGAGGATGAAAGGAAAATGGGGATGGATGTCTCCTCTGAGCACTTAAAAATTGGTCCAGACCTGAGTTGAAACATCAGTAAGAAAGGTATAGAAGTTTGTTGTTAGTTAAGGTGAACATAGTGGGTAAATTAAACTTTACCAGCACTAAAACTATTGAACAGACATATGAAACCAAAGTTACTTAGGTGTTCCTGAACTTACTGGTAAAAAAGCTTCAGAGGGGTAGCCAAGTTAGTGCGTAACAGGAAAAACTTAAACAATGAATAGTCTGGTAGCACCTTAAAGACTAACAAAACATGTAGATGGTATCATGAACTTCAAAAGTGGGTTGTGCCCATGAAAGCTAATGATACCATCTACATGTTTTGTTAGTCTTTAAGGTGCTACTAGACTATTCATTTTTTAAGTTTTTCCTACTGGCAAAATGAGGATACAATTATTTACCAACCTTTGCAAAGCACTCCAACATCTGAGGATGAAAGGTACTATATAACAAGAGTATACTATTGACAGCTTCCATGCCCACTTCAGTGTTTGCTGCCATGCTTATCATTTTGCCACTGTCACTTAACCTTAGAAAGACTATCAATCTGGGAAATTTCATAGTTAGATATACTCTTCTGTTGTGGTTTCCTTGTATAAGCTTTCAAAATGCAAACTCCGATGATCCAAATTGCTCTCTGAAACCAGAATTTATTTGTTCTAAATATCTGATACCACCCACTATTTATTTAGCTAATTGAGGTTCAGATGTAGTAGTGTGCATCTCAATTTGGTTATACTATTATTGCAACAGCATATAAAAATAATCCCAGTATGTTGGTAAATGGGTGAAACAAAATAAAGGCATGTACACCTAGGAAGGAAAACTGCATTTTGGAAATACATCTGAGATCTTTTAAAGCTATTAAGATGGGAGTATCAAGTGTCAAGGTTTGTGCTTGAACTATGTGTTTATGATTGGTCTACCCTTCATGTGGATATTATATATTGATTTATGCAGTGCCTCTCAAGATTGGAAGTGCTTCACAGGATTACATATTATGTATACTCATTTCTGGAATGTAGCGGGCACAACACCACTAGGAGGAACCTCACACAACTACTGAGGGATAGGAAGTGAACTACCATAGCCAGGAATGTCAATAGGCAGCTTTAGGTAGGCAAATACATTTCTCATAAAAAAATAAAGGGGTTTTATTTAACACCAGACAATTTAATTAGTAAATAAACTTAACTGCCTGTTTCTCTAGAAGTATGTGATTATATTATCATTGAATTTGATTTTCAGTTTGTAAGAATATTTTCAATTTAACACTTCTTAGAAGTTAACGCTACAACAATTTTCTTCTTGGGGATGGGGGGAGTCTCACTGAAAAAAGACCCAAACAAGCTTTATCTAGTTAAAATAGTATCTCTATTCACAAATTTCAAAACAGGTCAAAATGCAAGATAATGACAAAGAATAGGATTAAAGAATAAGTGTTAAACATTACAATCAAAACTTAGCCTTTTAATACAATACAGGACTGAAGGAGTGAATGTGTGGCTGTTGTGTGACACACTTCAGGCAGCCTTACTTCACGTGACAGATTTGTTTGATAAGATATCTACTTACAGGTTCCCCAAAATCAGGGAAAAACCAATATTTACAATAGGTAAATGTTAAGAACATGATTCCATTTCAGTTATTTAATTAAAGATTCTTGCTTATGCTTCTGATAAGTTCAAGTCATTTGTTTGTAGTAAGACAACATGTCATCCAAACTTTGGTAAGCTGGTTGCTGATCCTGTGAGCTGTTGTGGGAATTCTGCATCGGTGGAAACTGATTTTTCTGTGTTGATTCTTGTCTCAGTTTCTCGTGAGACAATTGAACCTTTTCCCAATTCTGGCTTTGGTAGTTATTGGCTTTCTTTTGACAAGCATAGTAATTGGAAGGGGGTGCAAATTCTGGATCTCGCTCATCCCTAGCAGCTGCACATTTCTTTGACCATTGTCCAAAAGTAAATTCTATTAGATAAAAAAAAAAAAACACAGTAACAAAAACCAAATATTACTATACAAAGATCACTTATTTCCTTTCTATGAAGGAATTTCTCCAATGTTTAACAGAAATAGAAAACTGAATTGCTTGAAGTAATTGACAACAGAGTCTTTCAGTTTAATTTCATCTGTACTAAGCTGATACTCAAACCTCAGGAACCAAATCATGTAACATTTTTTTAAAAGGACAAATCTTTTACCTGTATCTTAAAATAATTTTAGTTATTTTAAAAAGAAAGTTGCTAACTATAAGGGGAAGCCCATGATCTAAAGAAGATCAAAGCTGAAACAACCCAAGGATGATAAAATCAACTATGTCAGAAAATGCTATGCTCCCCAATAGTCTTGGGGGAACAAATCAGCTACTTATTTCAATTACAACAGTAGGCATTTTAACGTCTTTACTATCAATCATTTCCCATTACAAATCTTTAAAAATAACTATAAAATGATGTGATATGGAAACAGTTCAAATTCATGATAAATACAATGTTTTACTTTGAAGAGGACCTGAACAGCTTTTTACCCCATGTACAATGGTGCAGCAACCATTATAAGCTCATGGGGGCAGGTGCTGTGAGTCTGTATAACATATAGCAAAAAGGAGCTCCAGTCATGAAGAAGGTTATTTTTCCACTACTCCAAAACAAATATTAAGTATGTAGCTGTAGCAAACAAGTATCTAAATGGAATCAGGAACTGCACGTTACATTGCTTTTTGGTGCTACAAATTAGTTTACAAATTGCTGACTTGTAAGTACATTTTCAAATTTTATTGGTAACTACATTTTCCCTAATGTCTAACCTAAATCTCCTTACTGCAATTTAAACCCATTAACTCTTGCATCTAGAAGTTCCAGTCATGGCTCATGCCCCCATTGTGTTACCTGCAGTATAAACACAGACTAAAAAAAGATGACCTCTACAAGTCTGAGTGCAGGGGGCTTAAATTACATTTGTTTGTTTTTCAAGTTATAAAGTGTAAGAAAGTTTGTGTCAGTGCGCCAAAGGACCTTACAATCTAATCATAAAGACAGCACAAAGAATAATGACAAGAGACCATGTTGGGTAAGGGCAAGAAGATAGGAAGGTGGGAGATGCACAAGTAATCAATATGAGGGGAATACTCTAGACTGTACATTTATAAGATTGATACAGAGGCAGCAGCACTGAGTGGCAGGGGGCTTCTCAGGAGTAGGGCCAGAATGCACTGGATGCTGGCCCCTCCCTGGGGTACTATAGAACAGTCGAATAACAGATAAGAATTCATCAGGTTAATCGACTATTAAATTTACCAATATTTAACACTGCTAGTCTGAGCCTGATGAATGAAACCCAAAGCCCACTCCTCCGACCCTATCAAATTTACTACTTCCTATCACACACACACCTCACAAGGATCTGCCCAAATCTTTCTTGCTGTTTTCTCTCTTCTTCCCCCTTTCCTGTCTTCTTACGTGCCCCTCCTTTCACGACGATCATGGAACAGTCTCCACTTGCTGTGTGCCAACAACTTTTCTGCTTCTCTCAAATCCTTCCCTCAAAACTCC